AAAAGTACATAGTTAGGTTACCGCTTGAGTCGTAGGAAATGCATGAGGACTTGAGGACTTGAGCACAAACGCAACTTTTTACTCTTTATGAGGATACTTCTTTGGGGGATGGCGATTGCGATGCGGCCTAGTCTCGCGGTCTGAGCCTGGGAAAGGATGTAAAGTGATACTTGACTCGCCAGTGTTGGCCATGGTCGACGGAGAGGAGGAATGAGAGGGGGAATTAGCCGGAGAATCTGGGCTATCTTCTGAAATCGATACATGAGACCGGCCTTCTGTGGGCTGCAGAAGCTGTTTCTTGTAGGAAGACCCTACAGCGCTGGCATCCTCAGAGCCTCGTTGCCTTTTAGAAGGAGTGGACGGAGGGGCCCGACCTACCCAGCGTTCGGACCGCTTCGAAGTCGGTGTGGAGGATGGCGTCGGCGTGGCCATGGGGACAGCAGCAGGTCTCGGCAGGTAGGCCAAGTCAAGGACACGGAGGGCCAGCTGATTAGTGTCAATGGTGTGACCAGCGACTTTGGCAGTGATGCTGAGAAAGGCTCCCGACGGCGGTATTTTGACTCTTTGCCAACGCTTGGTGTTTTCTAAGAAACAGGCGACAGAGAACGCAACTGGAACTGCCTTTGAGGTGTCGTAGACTGATGTTTCGACAGCGAAACAGCGGTCCTCTGAAAGGTCAGGAGTCTTGTCGCTACGAGGTGGCACGAAGCCGATGATGGTCACCATCGGACACCACTGTTCTGGCAGGTGTTGTCGATACTCGTCAAAGTCAGACACGTCTCCCGGGTGTCTAGGGAGAGTCAGTTGGATCAAGATTGGGTACCAGACAAGACGGGACGTGCCTCATCAAGCTGAGGGCTTGGACACTGATTTCCAAGGGCCCGTCGGTAGACAAGGTAGTAGAGAAGCGACCATCGGCATAGAAGAAGGCGTTTGGCACATAGAGGTCCCTTTCTTCTCGTGTGAGATAAGCATGGATGCGAGTACGAATGGGCTCGACGTTGACATTAGGACTGTAGAAGCTACTCTCCTCAAAGATGTTGGCATCGGTCTGTATTTCCACGTAGTTGGATGCGTTTTCCCGACTCGGGTCGTCTGTGACGGTGTCGACGAAGTCGCGCAGGTGGAAGGTATTCGAGAAGGTCGATTGAAGAGA